TAGGAGGGTATCCTCTATCAAACATGAGATTATTGCCTGGTAAGCTGCCAGCAGATTCCCCTCATCCTTTATTTCAAAAGCTCTCCGTTATCCTTCTTTTCCGCACAATTCATCACCGCTCGAGCAATTCCCCGCACTGCCAAAGTAAGCCCTCAGGACTGGAGGTGGCCCTCAAGAGTGAAACATGAGATCCAGATATGGATAAGCACCCACCTGAGAGAGACACTTTACAGGTTGATATGTGAGCCCTAATATCTGTAGGAATCCCCCTTCCAGTACACCTGGGGTACACTGGGCTGTACTGCTGTTTGTGTGGCTAATCTCTGCCCCTCCAACCTAATGACAACCACATGGGCACCCCTTCCCTTCACCACATTTCCCCATCTGTCCTCACACCCATCTTGCCTAATCCCTCCATCTTTTATCTGCCCATCTAACTTCCTCCTCTCATACCCAGCATTTTCTGTGATGGCCCGTAGCTTCACGGCTGCATTTTATCGATTATATCAGTGGAAGCTCTGAGTTTTTACTGAAGTGTGTAACCGAGGCCCGGCTCTTCTGGAGTTTCATTCTCTCCCACTCTCATGGATGTTAGCTGTCATTACTTCTGACAGGACGCAGGTGAGCGCTGATGCCTTAGCCAGCAGCGAGAGGCCTCGCTACAGGATCTCTCATCTTCGCATGGCTAGACATAGAGGGAAAGTGGGGGAAAAAAGGAAGAGAAGGCATACACATACCAGATGCAGCAATAGCTTCCATACCATGAATTCGAGTTCTGCAAGACAGATTTTGAAAGCCTTCCAAGGACAATAGGCATTTTTTTGTTGCCACTGGTTATCAAGTGTCTGTAACATTGCATGCAGAAGGCAGAACACATGTAAATCAACTTTATGAACCAGCCTTCGCTCACATACTGTATGTCTGTATTTCCTGAAGGATTCTCTTTGAAAAACTATACTGTAATTCTGTATGTTCCAGTTTAAACATGAAAGGGAGCATTTTTAAGAATGTCTTTGCTGTCTCAACCTATCCTGGATATACTACAGTGATTTATCTTCAACTCACGCTCTGGCAATTCGTTAAGCACCAAAACCGATACTAGTTAATGGATAAGTCTGGAGATAGTTTATATTTTTTCTTATTGTCGACAAATCCCATGAAAAGACCAAATTACCATTGAACTGATACTCCTAACAAGTGTTGTCTGTTAGACAAAGCCTGATGTAACTTATTCACCTGCGCCATGGAGCTCCGTTGTCGTTCAATACACAGTTAAAATAAAAATAATAAATAATGAGCCACACAGTGCCCACTGTAGTTCATTTTGAGTCGATCACACACTCCGTACGGCTGCAGTAAATACCACCTTGAGCATGAATTTTACAGCTGAAAATAGAAACATTTGCTGAAAAACAGCTTTTTGAGAAAATAATTTTTTAGGGTTTTTGAAGAGATGCATTGTTGGGTTTGATCTTTTTGTGGGATTTTTTGACAGTAACAAAAATATAGATATAATAGACATAAATACAGATATGGCCAGCCTTATCCTTCAAACATAATTGTCTGTCGCTAAGGTAGGAGAAATTCTTCCAAAGATTGAGAGTTGGTAGTTCTCTGAAGAAATTACAGGCCGGTGTAATGAATCAAGACACTTTATTACATGCAGCATGGAGAGAAGACCTCAGCATGAATGTTCTCTCCCTACTTCCAGAATGATCTATCTTGTATACCATCCAGTATCTCCAAGATCACCTGGTTACTTCCTAACTGTACCCATTGTAAATCCCATCCCAAAGCCTTAGACCTTTCACAACACAATGGTCCTTTGATCAGTGTGATTCTTAGCATACTTGCCCCTACCATAAAAATCACTAACCCCCTAAACCCAACTGAATACATTTATTATTCCTTCTAAAACATTCATCTCCCACAACTAACATACTGTGTACCTAACTCATCGAGTTGTAACCATCAAAACCGTGGATCAATATTGTTGAGGGAGAGTTGGAGAATTTATACTTCTTTATCACTGTCTTCAATATTAAGTCTGAAAGATACAAATATGAGCCATTGTGCGTAGCCCAGTTCTTAAAACAGTGATCCCCATGATGTACAGTAGATTGGTAGACAGCTCGGAGTCTCTTTGTGAAATGAGATGACCTCACATCTCGCTGAGTGATCGTCTGTATCTGACAGCACCCACAACCGCCTGCACCGCAAATGTGGAACCATTCTTCACTTTCATGCATGGCTCTGTTTGAAGCTTTCTGGGGTTTTTTTCCCCCACTCCCTGCTCTCTTTCTTCCTCTCTATCTCTCTGTTTCTTTTAATAGTTGATCCCATTCTTATGCTTCTTGAATTTCAAACGCATATCTGTGAAGTGGCTTGATGTCTGCAGTATGTCCTGACAGCATGATGGACAGCACTTCCACCCTCCTACTCCCCCACTCATCCCTCCTTCTCTCAGTCTTCCAGTCCCCCACCCAGATAATCCCACTATCCTGGCAGCACGGCTGCTACCTGCTCAATCACAGACTGTTGGCGCGGGTATAACTCACTTCTCACAAGTCATCATTGTTCTGCTTCAATTCAAAGTCCCTCCATCCCAGCAGAGTACAGTATACACAAAAGCTAAAATTCCCCTCGATCTCCTTGAAGAACAAAGGCAGGTATCGGATGATGCGTTTCATCCAGACAGCATGTGACGGCATGTCACCACCGCAGCAGCACTTTTGCATTGTAGTTTCTGAAGCATTCCCTTATTGACAGCAGTTCAAGTAATTCAATATACCTCTGAAAATCAGCAGGTGTGGGAATGATGGGAGGAAAGGATTTGAACAGAGAGTTACCGCCTCTTTGTGGAAGGAAAGGGCTCTTACTCATACAGTATGTGAGTTGCAGAGTTGATGTGGTGGTGGTGGTGTGGTGTAGTTCATCGCTGCCATCTGCTGGCGTCCTGACTGCATTTACACTTCGACATGTCAGCATCAAGGAAATGTGTTTCGTAACTCAACACAAAGTTGTGCAACAAAATGAAAGTTTGCAGTCCCTTAATGCTAAACACACAGAAATAGATACTTACATTTATATTAGAATAACCTATTTGTGTTTAGGAAAATGTAAACAGCAGCAACAAGATAGTATGGTTTCATCTTCACGTATCAGGAGAGAGTATCTATCTGCCTGTACCTGTACAAACTACAAACTTCATTCAAGATCTATAGTGAACTTGAATGAATGTGAATAAACAGTTTTTTGCTGAATGTTTGATTTCTAGAGAAACCATTTCATGGAGAGAAATTAACCTGATTGATTGTCAAAACCAACATGAAAGAAGGCAATCAAAGGCATAATTAGACCATCAACCCCTTCGATACACTAAAGATCACAAGCTTCAATACTTTATACTTAATTTAATACGTAAATCACTTTCAAGTCTCCTGAAGAATTATACTCAAAGAAATTCAACACTTTGGGAAATAAGATTATTCACTTTCTTGCAGCGAGATAGATGAGAAGATAAATACCACTCTCATATCTGTGCAGTAAATATGCAGCTGCAGCCAGATAATGTATACATAAAAATTTAGAAACAGGGGGAAACAGCTGTAGCTCGGCTCTATCCATTGGTAACAAAATCCACCTACCAGCACTTCTAAAGCTCACTAATTAACATGTCTTATCCAGTTTGTTAAATTCATATGAAAACCAACATGTAAAAATAGCTTTTGGTGGTCTCATACGGGTGTTATGTTATTTCTTGTCTTGTTATAGTAACACAT